TATATCCATACAGGAAAACATACATTTGATGCCCGGCACAGTTTGAAAATTTCTTTTTTATTAATTTATTTTTGTTACAGATGTTTCTTCTTTTTTCCCCATTGACATCTTCCTCCCCATCCCCTCCACCTTGTCCCCTGCTTTGTTGTCCGTGTCCACTGGTTATGTGTACATGCATATAACTTCTGTGTTTTATCTCTTTCCTGCCTCCACCATTCCCTCTTCTGAGGGTTGTCAGTCTGTACCCTACTTCCACGTCTCTGGGTCTACCCTATTCCTCAGACTGTTATGTTCGTTATATTTCACAAATAAGTGAGATAATGTGATATTTGTCTTTCTCTGCTTGGCTTATTTTGCTTAGGATAATACTTTCCAGGTCCCTCCATGTCATCTCAAAGGATAAAAGATCTTTCTTACAGCTGCATAGTACTCCATTGTGTATGTGTACCACAGCTTTTTTATCCATTTGTCTACTGATGGACACTTGGGCTGTTTCCAGATCTTAGCTATTGTAAATAGCGCTGCTATGAACATGGGGGTACATATATTCTTTCTGGTTGGTGTTTCAGGCTTCTTAGGGTATATTCCTAGAAGTGGGATCACTGGGTCAAATGGAAGTCAATTTTAAATGGTTTGAGGTAACAACATAGTGTTTTCCATAGTGGCTACACCAGTCTGCATTCCCACCAGCAGTGTACTAGAGTCCCCTTTTCTCCATACCCTCGCCAATACTTGTTTGTTGATTTGTTGATAGTGGCCATTCTGACAGGTGTGAGGTGATACCTCATTGTTGTTTTAATTTGAATCTCTTTGATGATAAGTGGTGTTGAGTATATTTTCATATGTCTCTTAGCCATTTATATGTCCTGTTTGAAGAGGTGTCTATTTAGCTCCTCTGCCCATTTTTTAATTGGGTTCTTTGTCTTCCTTTTGTTGAGTTGTATGAGTACTCTATATATTTTGGAAATTAACCCCTTATCTGATATATCATTGGCAATGATGCTCTCCCATACAGTGGGTTGCCTTTCCATTTTGATGGTTGTTTCTTTTGCTGTGCAGAAGCTTTTTAGTTTGATATAGTCCCATGTGTTCATTTTTTCCTTTGTTTCTGTTGCCTTAGATGATGTGTCAGTGAAAATTCTGCTGTGTATGAATGTCCAAAATTTTGTTGCCTACATTTTCTTCTAAGACTCTTATGGATTCACGGGTCATATTTAACTCTTTTATCCATTTTGAGTTTATTCTTGTGTATGGTGTAAGTTGGTTATCTAGTTTCATTTTTTTTGCATGTAGCTGTCCAATTTTCTCAACACCATTTATTAGAGAGACTGTCTTTACTCCAGTGTATGGTCTTACCTCCTTTGTGAAATATTAATTGAGCATATTGTCTTGGGTCCATTTCTGGGTTCTCTGTTCTGTTCCACTGGTCTATATGCCTGTTCTTGTGCCTGTACCAGGCTGTTTTAATTAAAGTAGCTTTGTAGTGTAACCTGATACCTGGTATTGTGATCCCATCTACTTTGTCCTTCTTTTTTAAGATTGCTGTGGCTATTCGCGGTCTTTTTTGGTTCCATATGAATTTTTGATGTATTTGTTCTAGTTCCGTGAAATATGTCAAAATTCTTAAAGTGTTCTATGTAATAGCATAGTATAGATTGTTTATCCAGGAATTCCCATTGCTTCAGCTCGGAAATATTTCTGCCTTCCTTTGTCCTGTGCATTGGAAAGTGAGTCCCTGAGAATTGTGGTGGTAAGATCATTCCCACTCTCATCTAGATAAAATTGTCTAAATATATTTGAGCAATTGTTCAATGAGCTTTCTTTAAAAGAGAAACCTTTATCTAAATATAGATTAACATGTTGCAACTTGGGTTCTTCTCAAGTATTTTTAGTTTTTGGACACCACATCAATGTAATTATGATTTTACAGATTTACATTTTCAGTTGTGGTACTCAAACAAAACTTAATTTAGAATTACTGTTATCAAAGAATTCTAAATAGTACATTGTATTACTTATGGTCAAATTAATCATACATTAGTTTTGTGCTGTGTCTTACACAATTTACTTAAAAATAAAGACTATAAAAAGTCACCTGACCATAAAATTTTATAAGATATGTTCTCTCAATTATACAGTGCTTGATTTTATAACATTTTAGCTTGCATTGTTAGCTTTATAATTAACTGAGTGGAATTATATAAAGGTATTTACAGAATCTCAACTATCCAGTCCTGTATATGAGGAGCTTGGAAGTTGCAACTCTGTCCTAGCAAGTAAAAAGCTGAACAGATTAAAAAATCAACAACTCTCCTGGGATCCATCAGAAAGGCAAAGACACAGGACAGCCTGTTTCCCCAAAGATTGGACAGACAGACAAGTGAACATGGGGAGTAACACCTTACAGAGCAGAGACTCGAGGGCAGAAAACACTTTGGGAACCAACATCAGGGGTGGAAAACCTGAACTATCACTGATGAATTGCTGGAGACTCAGTGTAGACAAGTTCGAGAGGTTAAATCTCCAGGGGACCCACTTACAGGGACATCCCACAATACTGTAAAATTTACATCCACGAGTTCTATTATGTTTTATATTAAATATTGGAGAAAATCTCCTCATGATTCTGACAGCCCACTCTGTTTTTCCTAACAAGGCCTTTCCTCAAGAAGCTAGTAACAAAAGCCTAAACTGATGGGGTGTTATCAGAGCCTAACTGACCTGGTGGAAGGGAAACACCCAGTGCTGCCCCCCTCTAGCCATCCTGTTCTTGACGGGGAGAAAAAAGTAAGAAACACTTATGATGTTCACAGTCCAGAGGCACAGGCCCATTAAAGACTGGGACATAATCATAAAACTGTGGAACATTTCCCCTCACCCCACATTATAAGGGCCTATTGACAGTAGTTCTTTTTACTCAGAACATTATGTCTGGCTATTCAGAAAAAAGTTATAAGGTATACTGAAAGGCAGAAAAAAAACTATTTGAAGAGAAAGAGCAAACATCAGAATTGGACATGGAAGGGATGTTGTTATTATCAGATGAGAAATTTAAAACAATATGATCAGAAGGAAGGAGGAAAGGGGATGGGCAGGTAGAGTTTAATCAAAGAACTTATATGCATGTATGCATAACCCATGGACACAGACAATAGCATGGTAGAGGGCCCAGGATACCCGCGGTGTGTGTGTAGGTGGTCAATGGGGGAGAAAGTGTGTGTGTGGGGCCTCTGTAGTCCTTTCAACAATAAAGACACATTTTTCAAAAAGTATATCTTTAAAATAATAAAAAATGAAACAACTATCATTAGGCCTCTAATGTATAAAATAGATAGCATGCAGGAACAGATGGGCGATGTAGGTGGGGAGACTACCATCCTAAGGAACAACCAAAGAGAAATGCTGTGATCAAAAGCACCATAACAAAAGTGAAAAACACCTTTGATTGTCTTATTTGTAGCCTGGACACATCTAGAAAAGATATCTGAACTAGACGATATAATAATAGAAATCTCCAAAACTGAAAAACAAAAAGACTGAGAAAAACACAACAGAACACAACACAATATTCAAGGATGTTAGGACAAATGGTGTAACAAATGGATAATGGGAATATCAAAAGGAGAAGAGAAAAGGAACAGAAGAAATATTTGAAACAATAATGACTGAGAATTTTTGCAAATTCATGTCAGGCTCAAAACCACAGATTGAGGAAGCTCAGAGTACATGCCTTTTCCTACCCCCTCCCCCCCAAATTCACCTGGGCACATCATTTTCAAAGTAAAGAAAAATCAAAGGTAAAGTAAAATACTGAAAAAAGTCATTGGAAAAAAGCATCTTAGAGGAACAGAAGTAAGAATTACATCAAACCTCTTCTCAGACACCAGGAAAGCAAAAGGAGAGTGAAATGAAGTATTTAAAGGGCTAAAAACACCTATCAACCTAGAATTCATACCCTGAAAAATATCCTTCAAAAGTGAAGGAGAAAAAAAAACTTTGTCAAACAGAAAAAGAGGAAATATTTTGCCGCTAGAACTACCTTGCGAGAAATGTTAAAAGATTTTAGAAGGAAAATGATATAGATCAGAAAATGATATATATCAGACCTACATAAAAGAAGGTTAGGCATGAAGAAGGAATAGTGAAGATAAAATAAAGACTTTAATTTTTCTTATTCTTAATTGATATAACAGATAACAGTATTGAAAGTAAAATAATAATGATGTATTCAATTATGTATTCTTATATATATTATAATATACATATATGTTCATGTATACTCATGTACAAGTAAAATGAATGTTACAAGGAACAGAAGGGAGGAATTAAGATGATATGATTATTATAAAGTACACTACTCATAAAGGGATACAATGTTTTTTTTTTTTAGAACAAATTGGATATTTGTAAAGGCATAATGTAAAACTCTAGGGCAACAAGTAAAAAAGGTTAAAATAAAAATATAACCAATACACTAAGAAAGGAGGGAAAATGCAATCATATAAAATATTCAATTAAAACCACAAAAGGCAGAAAAACTACAGAAGACAAAAATCGGAACAAAGAATGAGGGCAACAAATAGACATCATAACAGACATGGTAGATATTAATCCAGTGCTCTTAGTGATCACTTTGAATATCTGTGGTCTAAATGCACCAGTTGGAAAACAGAAATTTTTAGAGTGGATCAAAAAACAAGACCCAACTATGTGTTGTCTACAAGAAGTCCATTCTGTATATAGAAACATGTATAGATTAAAAGTAACAATATGGAGGAATATATGCCATGCTTACAATAAACAAAAGAAAGCAGGTGCAGCTATAATAATTATAGAAATCGCCGTGGGTAGCAAACATTCTGTTTGAATGTTGCTGTCAGAATAATACCGTCAAGTTCTGTATATTACATGATGTGGCAAGATCACTGTAATTTGGGGTTGCATGTCCTCAAGTCAGCTAATTTCCTCTCTTTCTACCACACATTGGGAATGTTTTCCAGGCACCTCCAGTGGGCGCTGTGATTTCGAGTTTGACCTTTGTTCCTGGGAGCAGGAGCAGGACGATGACGGTGACTGGAATCTGAAGGCTAGCAGCATCCCTGCTGCAGGCACGGAGCCAGCGGCTGACCACACCTTGAGAAATTCTTCTGGTCACTACATCTTCATAAAGAGCTTGTTTCCTCAGCAGCCCATGAAAGTAGCCAGAATCTCAAGCCCTGTCATAAGCAGACGAAGCAAAAACTGCAAGGTATGGAAAAAATAAATATGATGTTCAAGTTCTGATAGAGTCTCTACAGAAAACAGCATGGTCAGGACCGGACCAAAGAGATGTTTGAATTTATTCAACTTGGGATAAGTGAGGGAGAAAGAAGATGAAGTAAGGATGAGAGGGAAAGATTGTTGGACCTGTAGGAAGAATTTATTTTGTGGATATACTCCATAAATATTGAAAATTTGAAAACCATTAGGAAATTTCTTAGTTATTATCCACAGATAATACAAAAGGAGTAAAATACCAGTTGTTTTCACTCATGAGGTTTAGTACATATTGGGATTATGGGAATTTCACCATCAGAAAAAAACAAATTAAACAACAAAAAATATATATTTAAATATGTCTAAGAATTAATATCAGAGAGAGTTGGAACTACAATAAAATGTTTGAAGATGTCTTCATGGGGAAAGAAAGACTGAACTTGGCCTGAAAAAAAGAATAATTTTATAGGTAGGAAGAAAAAATGGTTTGGTCATTATCCTGAGGAAATTTGAAGAAAACATTTTTAGTGTTAAAAGTTTAAATAAGCTTGTATGGCTCTTAGGGCCAAACAGCCTCATATAATGACTATGCATTTTTAGAATCCTTCACTTTATCTTTTGTTTAATGGTTCCTATTCCACAAACATATTGAGTCAGCCACATTAGGGACTAAATTTATCTTTACATATAATATAATTTAATCCCTCAGAGATGACTTCACAAGAATCTTGCTTTTGAGAGACTGTAAATATGTAAATAATTGTGCCTTTATTTGTAATTGTCATGACAAGTTCAATCTTCATATGATCTGAACACATGTATTCTGACTGGTATGTTTCCCAAAATTTGAGCACTAAAAGAAAAGCCAATTACATCCTGAAAGTTGCTAGCTGAGCAGAGAATCCGGCTGGGAGACAATGGCATGATTGTCATTCTTTCTTCACCACAGAGAGAGCCCTAACCCTGGGAAGGAGACATTCAATCATAGCTCAAAGGCTCCCCCACGGGTACCTGCTTCTGTTTCAGATGCTGTTCTGTTTCATACCGACTAACCTTCACATTCTACCACTGTCGCAGTCTTAATGCACGTTAAACCATTAGTTTGTCCGAGGAGATTTTTTTGTCCAAGCTTAAGCTGGTTTCATGGGTAAACTCTCAGATAGCAATCTCATCTCTTTTATGTCTTCGGGCACATTTGGTAGACCGGAGTCAGGCCACCCCAGTTTCCCAGATTTTTCTACAAGAAAATGCAAGTCTCAGATCAGAGTCTGAGAGAGACTGTCAGCAGCCCAGAATAAATATAACATGTCATACAGAATAATATTAAACTAGAATCAGTCTGGCAAAAAAATTTTAAAAAGACTTTTAATCAAATGTATTTTATTTGTTTTTGCTGTCTTCCAAATGACTTGATACTTTCTCAAAAATAAAGTCCAAACGCACCAGATTTTATATATTTTGAGTATCTATAAATCTATATATATATCTGAAAATTACACATAAGTTCTAGTTTTAGGAAGCAAATTAAAAATTAACCATGAAATATATATATAAAGTTCCAGTTTGACTTCTAAGCTTTTCTATTTAGACATTTCCTCTGAAAATGTTCAAAAGATTTTTTTTCTTTTCATTCTGTAGTAACCAAGGATTTCATCCATCTCTGTTTTTCCCCTGGTCCCAGAATTGTAAACTTACTGTTTTAAACATCTGTGTGAGAATAATGAAGTATGCCTAGAAGAAATGTCAAAAATTAATGCTGAGTGGTTTACTTCATGAATATTTATGACATAGATTGAATACAAAGAGGTAAAGAAAGGTCATGCTGTGAATGATCCAGTCTCTCACATTTAAAAAAAAAATGTGCTTTAGCCCTGGCCGATTTGGCTCAGCGGTTAGAGCATCGGCCTGCAGTCGAGAGAGACTTGGGTTCAGTTCCCGCTAAGGGCATGTACCTCCGTTGCAGTTTGTTCCCGGCCCTGGTTGGTCGTGCGGATGGCAGCCACTCGATGTGTCCCTTTCACATTGATGTTTTTCTCTCTCTCTCTCTCTCCCTCCCATTCTACCTGGACAAAAAATGGAAAAATGTCCTCAGGTGAGGATAAAATAAAATAATTAAATAAATAAATAAATGAATAAATGAATAAATAAATAAATAAATAAATAAATAAATAAATAAAGGTGCGTTAGATAAGCAGAATGACCTCACAAGTTTTTACGAAAATCTTCTCTGTCACTTGACTTTGTGGAATACCTTCAGGCAGAAAAAATCAAATTGGAGGTTATTCTTCCCTTTGAGAAATGAGTGGTGGGAGGGATGCAAACAGAGACTGACGAGGGAAAGGATCAAACCTCTGAGTAACTAAAATTTCCAGTGAAAATGCTCCTTTAGAATTGAAAGCCTGGCAGACTTTTATTCACTCATGTTGCCCTGTGATAGGTTCTGTTGTCATCAGGTATTCTCTGTAGAAATGGAGGTGTTGCCCTGTTTGTTGGCATGGTAACCTGATGACATCATTCAGAAAATAGTCTCAAGAAGATAGAGAAGGATTTGCTGAATGTAAAACACATGGCTCATGTTTCTTGTACAAATGAGAAGAAAAAACAGACCGCAAGTATGACCAGAAGGGATGCAGATGGACATGTGCTGAAACCATTGGATCGTTTCCTCTCATACATGTTGATGCTGGTCCCCCCACATTTTTTTGTCACTCTAATGAGTTATGCCACCCCAGTTTCACCAATCCTCCTTGGAAAAGGCACAGTGTTCATAGAGCTCATGTTTTTCAACATTAATTGGTTAACAAATAGAAGACATGTGTTTGGATCATAGAATAATGCCTGAAAGTTTCATCAGCTGGGAAATTTGAACTGAGTCATTGACATGGCTTACCTAGTCTTGATGCTCTTTGAAGTATGCATTGCATGTACTGTTTAATCACATTATTTACCCTTTAAACACATCCGTTCCTCTTTCTCTAGAGTATGCTATCCATGAATCCTAGTGGGGTTTTTTTTATTAATTAATTTTTGTTACAGATGTTTCTCCTTTTTCCCCCACTGATTCCCCCTTCCCCCTCCCTCCCTGCCCTTTCCCCAGTTTGTGGTCCATGTCCACTGTTCATGCATACATGCATATAAGTTCTGTGTTTTATCTCTTCCCCACCACCCCCCTATTTAGGGGATTGTCAGTCTGTACACCACTTCCACGTCTCTGGGACTACCCCCTTCCTCAGACTGTTATGTTCATTATATTCCACAAATAAGTGAGATCATATGAAACTTGTCTTTCTCTGTTTGGCTTGTTTCACTTAGGCTGATACTTTCAAGGTCCCTCCATGTAGTCTCAAAGGATAAGAGGTCTTTCTTTCTTACAGCTGCGTAGTACTCCATTGTGAATATGTATCACAGCTTGCTTATCCATTCGTCTACTGATGGACACTTGGGCTGTTTCCAGATCTTAGCTATTGTAAATAGTGCTGCTACAAACATGGGGGTACATATATTCTTTCTGATTGGTATTTTAGGCTTCTTAGGGTATATTCCTAGAAGTGGGATCACTGGGTCAAATGGAAGTTCAATTTTTAATTTTTTGAGGTAACACCATATTGTTTTCCATAGTGGCTGCACCAGTCTGCATTCCCACCAGCAGTGCACTAGAGTCCTCTTTTCTCCACACACTCGCCAACACTTGTTGTTTGATGATTTGTTGATGGCAGCCATTCTGGCAGGTGTGAGGTGATACCTCATTGTTGTTTTAATTTGCATCTCTCTGATGATTAGTGATGATGAGCATTTCTTCATATGTTTCTTAGCCATTTGTATGTCCTGGTTGAAGAGGTGTCTATTTAGTTCCTCTGCCCATTTTTTAATTGGATTCTTTGTCTTTCTTTTGTGGAGTTGTATGAGCACTCTGTATGTATTGGAAATTAACCCCTTATCTGATATATCATTGGCAATTATGCTCTCCCATACAGTGGGTAGCCTTTCCATTTTGATGATTGTTTCTTTTGCTGTGCAGAAGCTTTTGAGTTTGATGTAGTCCCATGTGTTCATTTTCTCCTTTGTTTCTATTGCCTTAGGTGATGTGTCAGTAAAAATTCTGCTGCGTATGATGCCTGAAATTTTGTTGCCTACAGTCTCTTCTAGAATTTTTATGGATTCATGAGTTACATTTAAGTCTTTTATCCATTTTGAGTTTATTCTCATGTAGGGTGTAAGTTGATGGTCTAGTTTCATTTTTCTGCAAGTAGCTGTCCAATTTTCCCAGCACCATTTATTAAAGAGGCTGTCCTTACTCCACTGTATGCTCTTGCCACCTTTGTCAAATATTAATTGAGCATATTGCCTTTGGTCCATTTCTGGGTTCTCTGTTCTGTTCCACTGGTCTATATGCCTGTTCTTGTGCCAGTACCAGGCTGTTTTGATTACAGTAGCTTTGTAGTATAACCTGAAATTTGGTATTGTGATCCCTCCAACTTTGTTCGTCCTTTTCAAGATTGCTGTGGCTATTCGAGGCCTTTTTTGGTTCCATTGAACTTTTGAAATATTTGTTCTAATACTGTGAAGTATGCCATTGGTATTTTGATGGGGATTGCGTTGAATCTATAGATTGCTTTGGGTAATATGGACATTTTAATGATGTTAATTCTTCCAATCCATGAACAGGGTATGTGCTTCCACTTTTTTATATCTTCCTCTATTTCTTTTTTCAATGACCTGTAGTTTTCTGGGAATAGGTCCTTTATTTCTTTGGTTAAGGTTATTCCTAGGTATCTTAATTTTTTTGCCGCAATGGTAAATGGGATTTTTTGCTTAGTTTCTCTGTCTATAAATTCATCATTGGTGTATAAGAATGCCATTGATTTCTTGACATTAATTTTGTATCCTGATACTTTGCCAAATTCATTTATTAAGTCTAGTAAACTTTTGATGGAGTCTTTGGGGTTTTCTAGGTATAGTATCATGTCATCTGCAAATAATGACAATTTCACT